GATTATATGTTTGTGAAACATCCCAAAACTACGGTCCAAAAATTTCGTTTTAAATCATTTAAGAAAACCATATTTTTCAAACATAATAACAACAAACCACAAGTATCTAAATGTCATAAATCGTGTATCTCAAAAACCTCATATCATCTAACAATGCATCAAAATCACGTGCCAAATATCAGAGTGAATCCTCCTAGGCTAAAAGTTGTGGTGTGTGTCATGCAGTCATCCCGAGCTTTTCCCCTTGCTAGTGGAAGTATCTGAAACCAAAACTGAAAACTATAAGCACGAAACTTAGTGAGTCTCCTCAACTACCACATACCATACACATATCACATAAACATATCTTGGACCTTGCCCATGCTACATCTTGTTAGGCTCGGCATCGGCTTTCACAACATCGGGCCACACCCGACTTCAAACCCTATTCGGCATCGGGCCCCGCCCGACATCAAGCCACGCCCGACATCAAGCACATATCGGAATGCATGTGAACACAATCAAACAATACACATAAAGCTAATCATATATCATTAACATTTAACATTTAGACATTCCTCGGTCCCTGCCCGTCACCGGACTGTAGTTTGGAAACATACTAACATTCCACGGAACTGCCCCGACATCGGATCGAAGTTCGGAAACATACAAGTACAAACACATGCAAGAATAACAAAGACATCAAGCATACAAAAATTCCTCGGGACCGCCTCGACATTGGATCGAAATCTGGAAAAGCATATAAACCTACATTGGGCCCCGCCTGGCATCGGACCGTAGTCCGGAACTACTACTAACTAAAGGGGTCGACCTTGGTACCTTAGACCCATTCCTACTGGATGAAACTCACCTCATATGCTAGCTCTGAAATCTCGTGTGAGGAATCCCCGACATCTGCTCCAACAACCCCCCGACTATCAATTTCACAATAACACTTAATCAAATATGATAATCCTCCTTAGGGTAAAATAACCGTTTTGCCCCTGGTCAAATTCAAGGTCTTGGTTAAAGTCAAAGTCAAGGTCAACTCCCAATCAACTCAACTCGTCGAGTTACTTCCTAACTCGACGAGTTCCTATACTACTCAGACTTGTGATTAACCTAGTCAACTCGTCGAGTCCCTTTATAGACTCGTCAAGTTCTACATGTCATAGAATCGGGACAAACCGACTCAACTCATCGAGTCCCTTTCTGAACTCGTTGAGTTCCCCTATCTGTCTGGGATATCTTAATGGATTAAGCCCCTACACTTCAGATCCAAGCTTCACACTTCCGAAAAACCCTTACAATGCCCTTTTAAGGGTAAAGTTTCTAACTTTACCCAATAGTACCTCTTCTAAAATGGTTTAGCTCAAAACCTAATTCCTTAGGACCTAGAACTTGGTCCTTATGCCATCCTTACACCCAAATAAATCTTACAACCTCAAATCTACACTCCTAACACTAAATGGACACGTAAAATTCTCACATTTTCCACACGCATGACCTTTTGGGGCTAAAAAGGCCAACATGACACTCTAAGGCTTGCATAGGGGCTCAAATGGCATAAAGTTTGCACCTTTATGTCATATTAGCCCCTCTAGGTCCTAGATCAGGAAGAATACCCACTTGGGTCGATCATTCTCCGAAAGCTATAAATCTTGGATCAAAAACCTTCATATGGACATAAAGAGATCTAATGAACTAATAGCCAAGATAGAAAATTGATTACCAGAAAATGTAGTAAATGGCGTGTAGTTTCTAGATCTACCCTTCCTTTCTTGACCCCTCTATCTTCTTATTCTTCCACAAGCTTCAAAAGTACACAGAGATCACTAAAATGGCTCACACTATCAAATAACACTCTAGGGTTTCATGGATTAGGGGTTGGGACAGGGAGGCTGGAAATAAGGTCAATGTGTAGGGGTTAAGGAGAACAAATAGGGTGCAAAACCCCGAAATTAGGGTTTCACTCTGGTCGATCTACTTGCCAAGTCGAGGTTTCTTGACTTGTCGAATATGTGAGTTTAAACCCCACGTATAACCTGTCTTCTACTCGACGAGTTAGGGCCACCAACTTATTGAGTTCCTATTTCGAAACAATTACATTAAAGAGTTAAATGCATACCAGGAACCAGGAGTTATAGTTTGTATGTGTATAACAGGCCCAGAGACAGGCAGAGCATAGTAGAAACAGATCTATATACCGAGTGGGGCTCGATGCCAGGTGGGGCCTGATGCCGAATACGTTCGATCTCGGGTGGGGCCCGATGTAGCGGGCTAGGCCCAATGTTTGCAGTATGTGATTATATGTATGGTATGTGGTAGTTTGGGGAGACTCACTAAGCTTCGTGCTTACAATTTTCAGTTTTCGTTTTAGGTACTTTCACTTGCAAGGGGAAGAGCTCGGGATAACTGCATAACACACACCATAGCTTTTAGCCTGAGATGATTTACTCTGATACTTTGACATATGATTTTGATACATTATTTTGTTATGATGATTTGAGATACATTACTTATGTTTTTATGAGATCATGAATGGTATTTATGGTTTTTATGAATGATTAAAATGAAAATGTTGGATCGTATTTTTGAGGATGTTTCATGTACACATGCATTGAAGATATCTGTATCCCATATTTTGTAATTCAACCCTGTTATTCGTATGGTTTTCAAACAATCGGATGATACATCATGTTTTCAAGTTATAAAATTTTAACTGTTCAACCTAATTTAAATTCATAATCTCTTTTGAAATCCGGGGCACTAAACACGTTCCTTATTTTCCCCTAAAACCAACCAGTGTTTCCTTACAAAACCCACCCCAACACGAGAACATCCATTGTCAATCGCCACCCATGCTTAGTTTTCTTTCAATTTGGTACAAGAAATTTTGAAAAAACTACTATGCAAGTGTCTTCCCCTTAAAAATGCACCACCTATTCACGATCCCTAACACTTGACTACATGTAAACTAATTCAATTTCTTCTTATACCCGATCACTATATTTGAATTGTTTGATTATTTTCATATAGAGAAGGAGAAAGAAAATTGTATCTAAGACTAGTGTCTCTATTACTCATTTTATTTGTTGATAACCATCCATTAACTACCACCAACTTAAGAAACACAATTGAAGAATCAACTGTGTGTCCACAGTACGTTTGATACATTTAAGCATCATGCACCAACTAAAACAAAATGTTTACATTTTAATAAACCAATCACACACCACTTAGACGTAGGTTCTGATTCTTTTCAAGTCAAAGATGTTACATCATTTGATTTATACACCAATTATTTGACAAAATCCTTTAACGAACTGTGATTATGTGATCAATATGCGACCCTTTGGCTTGAGTTTTTTCAATAGTGGATTATGTATTTAACTTGCAGGTTGTGCAGATTTAAGAGTAATATCTTGCGGTTTTCCGGTTCAAGGATACCATTAAACGTGGGTCGTTGTGAGACCTTATCCCTTTTCATTATCTTCATACAATATGTGTTATCTTTATTGGAACAAGCACTAAGTCCTCATCTTGTTACCTTCTATGATTACGACTGAGTATGTAGTTATTGGGTGACCTTGTTGTGGTTCTCTAATTGCATGAGGTGTTAACTTATACCAACTTTTAGAATGTTTGGATACACCTCAACGACCTGCTAAGTTCCAAAAAGCTAGTTTCGAACAACCAGTGAATATTATTTTTAATTATATGTTTGATAATTGTTTTCTAAACTAATAACAAACTTAGATTTTAAAATATTAATTTATACTTTTTTCTTCAAGATGAAACTCATCATGCTTCAAAAATAGGGTGGCAAGATGAGAAAGTCTAAAGTTAAGGGGGGTGATTTTTTATATGTACCGCAAAGTTTCCAATCAGAGAAGATCTTTTTAGAGCCAAGCAACAGCTACGTGTCACCACTATCCATGGCCCGAGTGATTTGGTTTGAATCCATTTGGACCGCTCCACTTTCCTTCTTAGTTTTTGTCCAACTAGCCTTCCACATCACCACACAACCTTTCCACGTACATTATAGATCGGACGTGTATCCCCATGAACCTAAACTTTGTCCACGTAATTTGACATGTAGGATCTCATAAAATCTTCTTAGGTAGTCCTTGGATTTATCCAAATTCAAGTCATCAGCCCCCATGATTTCTAAACCAGTCAATCTGATTTCCCCTTACCAGATTTTTTCTTTGTATTCTTGTTTCGAAACCCTATTTTTTAACTTGCTAATTTTGTTTTGTTATTGTAATTCTGGTTGCTCTGGATCTTGAGTTACAAGGAATTCGATTCGTTTAGCCAAAGCTTTTTACGGTAACTCTTAAACACTTGTTTTTTTACCTGTATGTTTAATTTTAGTTGAAGATTAGCTTCGATTCGCGAAATATCTGCAGCTATTAACACTTAATTAGTAAAATATGTCCGATTAAGAGAATTTTTCGAGTTTGTCTTGCTTTTGTAGTTTCGATTGGAGTGGTTATCCAAAAAGGTCATGTTTTCAAGTGGAAAACTTCATATGGATTCTGCTAGTTTTTAGTCTATCAATCTCGGAATTGTATTGTTAAAAGGCTTAAGATTTGTATTACAATTTGAGTTGAAAACTAGCGTAGTTTACATCAAACACCAAAGTGTCTATATTTGCCACTGAACGAGTATTTGGTAAAGTTTTGCTAATCTGTTGTTTTGTTGTTTGTAACAGGGATGAATAGTGCGTATAGAAATTCACTCTTGCAGGTATAGAAGAGTTTGGCTCAGTTTTGGTATATTCCTTGATCATAAGCTATGTCCATGGTGTTGTTAGTTTTATATTCTCTCTTTGGGTATCTGCTTTTGATTTAGGGCAGAAGGTTTTGTATTTGACCTTTGAAGGGATTTGATAACTTGATGTGCCAGCTATGTGTTGCATATTTTCTTGCATTAAGAAGTTTTAACAAGTACCAAGATAGTTCTCCAACCTTTCTCATCATTGATGTTTTTGAATATCATTAGCAGGAAGTGTTTTAATGAGCAACAACCAAGGAGGGAGCAAGGGTCAACAGGTGAATAATTGTGTGAAATCTGAGTATCAGGGAGATGTGAATAGATCTGTGAGTATAGGACCAGGTTCACAGGGATATGATGAGTCAAGAACTAGTAGAATTGATGAAAATGTTCAAGATAGATGCAATCAGGTAGCAGTGGAAGTGAATCCCAATGCTCCTCCTCAAGCACCTCCACAACAGCTTCAAGGTTCATTGGTCCACTAGGAGAGGTTTCTACATGTTAGATCCATTAAGGTCATGTTGGTTGAAGATGATGATTGTACACGTCACATTGTAACTGCATTGCTTTGCAACTATAATTATGAAGGTTAGCTAAAATTTTAACCATATGTTCCATATAATAAGCTCCTCCTCAAGCACCTCCACAACAGCTTCAAGGTTCATTGGTCCACTGGGAGAGGTTTCTACATGTTAGATCCATTAAGGTCATGTTGGTTGAAGATGATGATTGTACACGTCACATTGTAACTGCATTGCTTCGCAACTGTAATTATGAAGGTTAGCTAAAATTTTAACCATATGTTCCATATAATAAGCACCTAACACATATTTTCTATCTTTTTTCTTTCTCTTTTTGGAAGTTATTCAAGCTGCCAATGGACTTCAAGCCTGGAAGATCTTGGAAAATCTATCCAATCACATTGACATTGTTTTAACTGAAGTAGTCATGCCTTGTCTTTCAGGAATCGGTCTTTTCTGCAAGATTATGAGCCACAAGACACGCAAGAATATCCCTGTGATCAGTAAGTACTTATGTTATCCTTTCTATAAAACAAAACTAGCAGCATAATTTGTCTGTCTTTCAAAAGCTTTTTACCACATTGATGGTATTAACCACCATGCATAATGAGATTGTGTGCAGTGATGTCTTCTCATGATTCAATGGGTTTGGTTTTTAAGTGTTTATCAAAAGGTGCAGTAGACTTTTTAGTGAAGCCTATTCGGAAAAATGAGCTTAAAAACCTTTGGCAACACGTGTGGAGGAGGTGTCACAGTGTAAGTCATTTATACCAAGTTTAATCCTCCTGCAATAATGTTTCATCATATGATTATTTCAATTTATTGGAAATATATTTCCTGTTTCCATCAGTCAAGTGGTAGTGGAAGTGAAAGTGGTACACAAGCTCAAAAATCTGTAAACTCAAAAAGCAATGTAAGGTATGATAACAGTAGCAAAGATGGGGATGACAACAATGAAAACACAAGTGGTGGTAGTGATGATGGTAGTGGCACTCAGGTAATTATTGCAACTTTTTTTTTCAGAAAGATTAATTTAGACATGAGATGCAGAGTTCTTGGACAAAACATGGTATTGAACGTGAAAGCCCGGAATCAGCAATTCCATCCAACCAAATATATGAGCATCCAGACAGCACTTGTGGCATAGTTATCCGTTCTCTACAAACTCAACCAATAAGAGACATCAATAATCACAAACCACAACCCTATACAGGTATTCATATGAAGTTGATCCATTTTTACTATTTCCATGACAAGTTTCTTGTTTCTCATATACCGATGAAAATACCAAAGAGATTGCAATAAGCATGGAAAATGTGAAAACTGAAAAGATTATGAATGCCAATGGAATCCATGATTCCAATGGAGTAGAAACTGAAGATCTTGGCACAAAAGGGCACGTCCTCCATCTAACAGTGACGAGGAAGAAGTTCAAAATGGTTGCTGCAATATATTGCGACATTCAGAGCTTTCAGCCTTCACATGGTCAAAACCTAAGAAAAGGGCAGTATTGTAATTTGATAAGATATGAGTAATAAGCTACTGAATATGTTACAGGTATAAAACAACCTCAAATGCTATAAAATGTACTCCTGGAATCATTGCTAGTTGTTCTCAACCTGATAATAGATCCAACTTGGTGAAGAAAGAATCCAAACGTGATGTTCATTCAGAAGGATATCTTATTTATCAAGGCTCAAGTGAGGTTCGTATGAGTAAATTTCAGATAGTTTGTTAGAAATCATGTTTGGTTGCCATGAAGGAATGGAATTGGTCCTAGATATATTATAGTTAAAAGTTGGTATAAAAAACTGATCTAAATTTTACTCTGTTCAGCAAGTGATACCAAATGACATGACACCTGGCAATGTGGTCCGTGATCAAGAGCTTCACATTCATCAGCATCACCATGTCCATCATTACCATAACATAGAAACAGATGAGCCGTTGCCAATGTCAAATGATGATGATGAGGATGATTTTGGTCGAACACAATTGGCTGCAGATGCCCCACATTGTGGGTCATCAAATATCATGGGTGGTGGTAATGGTAAAGCAGAAGCAAAAGCAGAAGCAGAAGCTAACCTACAAAATTACAGTTTAAACAAAAGTGCATCAGGCAGCAGACATGGAAGCAACGTGCCAAATGATGTGAATTTTGAAGTTGCAAAATTAGAAAATAATGTTTGTTTACGTGACAAAAATAAAATAACAGATCATCACAATCACAATCACAATCACAATGACAATGACATATCTGCACAGAGAAAAGCAGCATTGACGAAGTTTCGCCAAAAAAGAGAACTCAGATGCTTTCAGAAGAAGGTAATTAATTCATTTTGCATAATCAAATAAAATCAACATCTCCGTAATCATAAAATTTCATTTTTTATTTTATTTTTTATTTTTTTCCAGGTGAGATATCAAAACAGAAAGAGATTGGCAGAACAAAGGCCACGTGTACGAGGACAATTTGTGAATGGAAAAAGTCGCGACAATTCAACTAATGCAGCTGATGGCTAGCTAGCTATCAGGTTGCTTGGTGTCAAGACTTGATGTTAAATACTTAGAAACTTAAAAACATAATAAACCTTTATAACTTGGTTTGCAGATTTACTGATATGTGTATGATTTAATATATATATATATATATATGGCAATTTTAGTATTCTCGAGAGAAATACCAATGTACTCCCATTGATGTATCTATTATAACATCATACTTTTTATTTTGAAAAATATACTTGGTTATAACTATGTTAATGTCATCTTAGTTTCAATACTTGTGATCCTTGTGTGTTTTTTGTCATTAAACTTTTAAAAACGAGGTCAATGAAGCTATTATTGAAAATCTGAAACAATGCTTTTGTGGCAATAAATATGGCCACGTGAAGCCACGTAGGAAATTAGCAATAAAGTCATCCAAATTTGTTCTTCACTAGTAAACATGATGAACACCAAGTGTTGTTGGTGTTTGTGTGTGTTAGAGAGATTGGTCTTAAAATTTGGCGATCAACACAAATTGATTTTCAAAGACACACATACGCAAAATCGATTTTCTGATCTATTCCAAAAGCACAAATAGAAACGATTAGCAAACCTAAACTTGACCACTAAAACAAAGTCAAACCACCTTTTCGTCCACCAAAACCCAAATCTTCAAAAACGAACACCAAACCAAGATCTACAAACTCACGTAAACCTTATGTTTTATTGTACTAAAACATAAATTGTTGGGTATGAAGAAAAATTGTTTAGGTAAGAATCACTTCCTCTTATATTATTTTCTTCTACGTATTAGATCTACGTATCTCATAACCCATTTAATAAAAATGCATTAACACATAATCCGTCACCATCATCGTCATCATACAAGTAATATGCAACATGAATGATGTTGGGTTCCATATGAATGAATTTCAAAAATTGTAGAAGGTGGTTGGATAGAATTCAATGTCATATTAACTGGAAACTTTAATAATAACGGATTAAAATTCAATGCAAATATCATTAATATGAATAAAAATTACAAACAGTTTAAATGACGGACATATTTGAACTTTTTTTCTTCCATATAAACATTCTAGGACTTGTATCTCCAAAACAAAGTTAGTAGCACCGCAATTTACCTGAGAATAAGTTTAAAAATACAAATAAAGGATATAATAATTGCATAAAACACCATCCATCTAGACCAAAATTTATGAACTAAAAAATAACTATTTTTTCTTGATATACTTGATTTTTAGAAAGATGTCCAACTTTAACTAACTAAATAAAATGTGTAATACTTAGTATATACAAAAAAGAAGTAACATCAAAAAGAAAAATAAATTATTTGTCACATCATTTACTTTTTAAAGACAAGTGCTGATGAATCTTTGGCGACAAAAATATATATTAGACAAAACTTTATAAATGGTCCTTGTGGTTTCATAAAATTTGAAGTTTCGTCTTTAACTTTAAAAAACCTCATAGATGGTCCCTATAGTTTCAAATATTTTAATGTCTAGTCCTTATGGCTCACTTCGTCAGTGTTTCCCTGTTAAGTAAATGACATTTTCGTCATTTGACTACCCAAAGACCATTTATGAGGTTTTTTATTATTTTTTTTGAAAAAAAAATGAAATTTAATATGCAAGGGGTCTCTCTCTCTCTCTCTCTCTCTCTCTCTCTCTCTCTCTCTCTCTCTCTCTCTCTCTCTCTCTCTCTCCTGTACATCTTCTTCCTAAAAAGAATACACCTTTTTCTTGATTTGGGTTTTTTAAGTTCCGCAACTTCAAAATCAAGCCTAGACTGAAACAAATCTAAATCAACCTTTACCCTACATTCTCGTGGACCATAGCCTCCTCCAACTGAGTTTAGTCATCGCCCTTTGACTTAAGGGTCCGATTTTGGTTTTGAATCCACCACAACCTTTATGGTTTTTAGGGTTTCGATGGCCTCCTCACAAATTCCTCTAATATTTTTTTTTGTCTATCTACCATTGAATCCATATATAGAATCCAGACATCGATTTGTTTCTCTGACATCGATTTTAGGCTCAACTGGAGCTGGGAAAAGAATTAGAGAGAGTTTGATGGCTTAGAATATACACACAAATCCAAATCACATGAACATGATTTTGGAATTGATTAAAGATGATGGAAATGTGGGGGCTGGTTCATCCCAAGGACATGATTTTGAAGTCTGTGGGTCAATCCAAGTTGCAGGAAAATGCTCGAACCAGTTGTGGTTTGGAATATATTTTCGTTCCAACATTACACTTAGGTAGACACTGGCTTCATCGTAACTTGCATTTTTGATGGGTATCATTCGTGTAATGCCCCGAATTTTAACCAAAAATTATCAATTAAAACATTAGGTATTTATTCAAATCACATCTACGATCTTAAAACATTTATCAAAGTATCATTTAAAAGTTATCATTGCACAAGTCCCCCATTGATGCGATGCAATCGAGTCGTACCCTTTCTGTATTATAAGAAAACCTGAAATATGTAAACCACAAATCGCAAACATAAAGGTTAGTGAGTTCCCTAAAATACCACACATAACACAACACAAATAAACAACTATGAGTTATCAGTAACCCTGGGGACTATCAACAGTCCCAGTGGGTAAACAACACGTCCGGTGGGTTATCAACAACCCTGGAGACTACCCGAAGTCTAAATGGGCAAACAGCACGCCCGATGAGTTATCAACAACCTTGGTGACTACTCGAAGTCTCAGTACATAGTAACACATATCACAATAACAACAATCAAGACCCAGTTGGTCGGTATATATATATATATATATATTATCACACAGACTCATACAAACATGCAAGAGTCACAAAGACGACTAGCATCCTACATACACAATTTAGTGAACCGACATTGGTGCCTTCGAGTCACAAGCATATGGAGGAGACTCACCTCAAACTGCTGAAACAACCAGATAAATGCTCGGACTACTGATCTGGGAAACCTTCACACATAATATCATAAAAGAATATTCTAAATAATAATCAGGACATAAACCATAACCGGGCCCTACCCAAAGACACACAAAAGCCTAAAGTGGCCCAAAACTCAGAAGTCAATAGTATCGGTCCATAAACGGGGATTACTATGCTTACGCGGGGCGTACTGCTCGAACTAGCATGATCGAGGGTCATTCCTGGCTATGCGGGGCGTAGCCAGGAGTATGCCCAGTGTACACGGCCTGACCCTAAACTCTTAAGTAAAATGTATTATTCCTTTAAGACACTTATTCCAACCCCATATCTGACCTCTAAAGAAAGTCTTAATCCATAAAGTCTTTGACTTTAAACTTTGCAATGGCTAAAAAGGGCTCAATCCTTAAGACCCTAACTTTTACAACACTCAAGGTCACTTAACTCATGCATGGGCCAAAGGAAACGATCAAACAACCATTTTTATGGACCAATGCATCCTAAAACACCTAAAATGACAAGTAATAAGCTCTGGAGTGCTCCAACTCACAAAGATCCAAACTTTGGGACAAAGAACTCATAAATAACCATCAAATGAGATCTAGAAAGAATATCAGCAAGGCATGGGCTTTATACCTTCAAAAGATGCACAAAGTAAAGGAGTTTCTGTATCCACAAGCTTGCATGCAACACCACCTTCTTCAATGACCTTCTTCCTCAACAAGAATGCACAAAAATTACCAAAAAGGATCTAAGATCTTCAATCTCAATGCTAGGGTTTGATATTAGAGCTGAAAAGGAGTCGAGGCTGATCATAGGAGGTCTAAGGGTGTGATATATAATGTGTTTAAATAGGGGTGAAACCTAAAAAATTAGGGTTTCACATCTACTCGGTCGTGTACGCCCGACGTACTCCCTCGTACGACCTACATATGCTGCCTCGCCCCAACTCACTTAATGGCTTACGCCCAACGTACATGCCACTTACATCCAGTGTACGCGACTTAGCCCAAAATCCTTAAAACTTCAGACGACCATAACTTCTTCATTCTGATTCCGTTTTCGATGATCCTTATATCTACATAAAGGTATTGAGAAGCTCCACAACCCTATCTAATAAAACACATTAAAATAAAATCATTAATTGAAAAAGAAGTTTGAAACATGACTTTTCCCAATTTATCCCTTGACTCCAAGGCATAAACCGAGGTCTTGGATCACATAATCTACATTACCCACATCTAAATGGGTCAAAATCTCTCTTTCCCCAAAGCCCAAAGCCTTATGATACTTGATCATCGGGTTATGACCTTGAATTATGAAATGACTCGAAACAGGGTGTTACAATAGGATTATGGAGGTGTGGACAAATTTACATTAACAATAAAAGTGTAACCTAGAGAATAAGAATATTTTATCAAATAGTTGTAGAATTTAGTAAATAATTCATATATAGCTTGAGTAAAACTGTTGAACTTGATTCATTATTAGCAAAAATTGATCCACCGACACCTTGACGTTCATAAAAAGATACCACCAAATCAGAGATGAATTCATTTGGAAGACTAACATCAAGTAATAGATCAAAATCTGGGTAAAACTGGAACTGGCCTTACATTTTTAGGCATTGAAGAGCATGAGAGCTTTTTGAAGTGCAATAGTGTAATTATTAGGAGGAGATGGGTGTTTGTGATGCCTAGGCATAGTTTTGATGATCAAAGTGACGAATTCGATGATGAAACTGACTACTAGAATCAATCCAACCGTTCAAATGAAGATCTTACGGTAGATAATGATACAACCCATATCTACATACTCCTTATTTTGTTCTCCGGGACCCAACAACCAGCTCTGTTGCGTTTCATTTAATGGCCATGACAATGCCACCCTATCAAAGCCGTTTAAGTTCCTACTTCGTTCATCGTCTGTTGCTGAATCCACGTTGGGTATCTTCAATGGCCCATCCTATGGATCTCTCCCGTACATATTTGTAAATTGAATTCGATTCAATTAAAACATGAAACAAAGCTTTGAATCTTGACCTGATTTGGAATTTGAGGTTCGATTGATAACGAGATGCAAAACCTAGATGAAATCAAGCTTGTGGAAATGTGAATTTACGTGGGGGTTGCTTGAAATAGCAAAGGATGCTCTCTTTCTATGTATGAGAGAGAGACCCTTACATATTAACTTTCATTTAAAAAAAATAGAAAACCTTATTTACTGGGTAGTAAAATGATGAAAATGTCATTTAATTGACGAACGAATACCGACAAAGTGAGTCATAAGGACTAAACATTAAAATTTTTGAAACTACAGTGAACATTCATGATTTTTTTTAAATTTATGGACGAAACTTTAGATTTTATGAATTCATATGGACCATTTATTAAGTTATATCTATCTATTATCTAAAACTTTTCCAACTATTACATCCATACATGTCACGTCAAGAAGATGACTCGGACCAAATTGTGATATCTATCAAAATCAAAGATGAAGACACAGTTTTGTATACTTTTCAAAAACCATGTTCTCTCAATTTTATTATTCTTTTTAAATATAAATAAATCGTAATTAAAATAAATTACTATTATTAATATTAATAATAACTGAAACGATTGACGTGGCAGAGGCTTCTTCATATCTTTGCAGAATAGAAACGAAGACAGGTAGCTGAAACGACGGTTAGTTGGCTTAACACACAGTCGTATCAACAAACAACTGGCCTCTTCTCAATTCTACCCTTCAATCAAAACCTGAAAGAAGCTCATCTTCACATCTTTTTGAGATTTGGGAACCCACAAATTCTCTCAACAACAAAGGTATACACTATTCTTCATAATCCCCAACTTTATTTCTGTTAAGTTTTCTCAACTGCATAACTTTATCCATGTGAAATTCTTCTCGATAACAAAAGCCCTAATTCCTCTGTTTCTTCGTAGCGAAAATGCAATATAAGTTTCGAAATTAGACGCACGATGCTTATGTTATAATGTAAAGCTAGAGTAATGTGCGCGTATTAATTACTATTTGTATTCATGTAGTTGAGCGAATTATTAGTTACAATGTAATTTCTTGTTACTTTTTCCTTCATCTGCTTCTGCTTTCTGTGGTCCCAGATGAATGTGAACGGACAATATATACTCCGTCTGTAAATAGAAGCTCTGATTAGATTTACTCTATTCTATCGATTTCTATACTTGAAAATGTAACTTTAATCAAGTTTCGTTACTCAAACTTTGTGTATTTTGGTCGTTTATTGATAGGGAAATATTTGAAGAACTAGAGACATCAAACACCAGGAGATGGTGAGAGTCCGATATCCTTTTCTAATCTAATCAAGAAACTCTGATTAGATTCATTAGTAAAAAAATGGAGGTTAAAGAGGCGAAAAGGACAATCATAGCAAAACCAATTGCTTCAAGACCTACCATTTCCAACTTCGGATCCTTCTCTGACATCCTTCCTGGCGCCATTAACATTTCACCCTCAACAGAACCCACAGTCACTGCCATCAGACCAAAAACAGTGAGGTTCAAGCCTGTTATGAGCTCTCCAAATGTTAAGATCTTGAAATCAGATCACGCATCTCCCTTTCTATATAAACCCTTGGCAAAGACAGTATCAAGAACAACCATTAGTCTCTTGGCAAACATGGTCAGTATTTGTCTAAAACTAACTGAAAGTCTGAAACGTATGATTCATAGTTATAGTTATCTAAAACATCTCTCTTTAATGTTATAGGGAACTTGTAATACAAGCCATGAACAAGCAGCAACTCAAAATCTCGAATCAATGAATCCTCCAAAACTGAAATCAGATGATAAAAGATTGCAGTCACACACAAACAACTCTGATCGACCTTCTTATGATGGATATAATTGGAGGAAATATGGTCAAAAGCAAGTCAAAGGAAGTGAGTTTCCAAGAAGTTACTACAAGTGCACACACCCGAATTGTGTGGTGAAAAAGAAGGTTGAAAGATCCATAAATGGTGAAATAGCTGAAACTGTTTATAAAGGTGAACATAATCATACAAAGCCCAGGCTTCCTAGGCGCCATGCTTTTGATGGAACTATCAAAGATTCAAGCTCTCAATTGCCAAGTAATCAACTCAAGAATGATAATAAGCTGAATGAAGTTGTTGGATCATCTTCACGTTTGACCAATTTGGTCAAAGTCCATGAAGAATTTGATGCTAGTTGTATGCCAACTCTTGATGATGAACATGAACCCATCACAGTTAAAAGAAGGTAACAATTTGGTCAAAGTCAAAGTCAAGCTCATATGATCATTCATGTTGTTGTTTTCAAGTTTAAAGTTTGTGTTTTGCAGGAAAATTATAAATGAAAGATATGGAGAAGGTTTAAAAGAGGGTGGAGTTGTTGTTCATGATGGGATTGATTCAGAGGCAATTGCTGATGGTTTTAGATGGAGAAAATATGGGCAGAAAGTTGTGAAGGGCAATCCTTATCCCAGGTTAAATAATATAAAATTATATTAAAATATATATATATATATATATATATATATATATATATATATATATATATATATATTTGTTATATTTAAAATTTGGATATTAAGTCTGATATGAGAAGATATTGTGCAGAAGTTATTATAGATGCACAGGAGTTAAGTGCGATGTGAGGAAACATGTGGAAAGAGCATCAGATGATCCAAATGTTTTTATTACAACTTATGAAGGCAAACATAACCATGAAATGCCAATGAAGAAACTAAATTAACTGATGAATAATCAAGGTATAAATCATCCTTGAATTTCAAAATGTTTAATCTTAGATGAAGGTAGTTGTTAAGGAATTCAAGATTTTTAGATCAATAAAGATGGAAAATTTTTAATTATTGATATCGGATATCACATGTTATTGTTTTTTAAGTTGTGTTTGATAAATTAGCTAAAAAACTAATTTTTGGTTGATAAACTAACCGATGAATAACAGCCTTTGGTAAAAAAGTAATTGATAAGCTAGATGACAAGTGTAAAATAAAATAAAAGACATTTAGATATATAATTAAAAAATTAGCATATAAGAGTATATACTGAAAAGTTATGGAAAAAGCTCAATGAGTTTATCAAATAAGATATATTTTTTAAAAAGCTACCTTATAGCCTAATAAGCTATTTTGTTAGTTTCACCAATAAATTCAAAAAATAAATTAGTTTATGCGCGTCAAACACTGTATTGATCGCAAAGTCGAATATTGGGAGTTACGTAAAAATGAGAAGTTAACTAAAACAGGTTATCATAATCTGTAATTTTCATTTTATGTGGATGAGATTCTTTAACACAATGATTTATGGGTTCTCTATGTATGTTTCCTATTTTTGTTAGATTAATCATGTTTATATTCTCCTAAAAGTAAAGGGTTGTTAGTTGTTTGTATGAAAAGAAAACCTGGTATAATGTTTTCAAGATGGGCTGTTGACGAAATTGTCATGGGCTTTTCATAACAAATAAATGATCAGTTTTGAGGAAATAGATAAAACGTATACGAAGAAACGTTGTATTCTGCAAAATTATTTAATTTTAGACAAAAAAAAAATATATATCTTATAAATATAGTGGTCCTTGATATTATGTTTATATGATTCACCCAAAATTATTGTTGCAAACTTTCTTATGTATTTTTCTTTAATATTTTATCAAGGTGGATATTTAATTAATAAACAAAACACTAAATACGCAAAACTAATATTTCTCTATGCTAAAAAAGGCAACATTTTCTTTTTAATAAAATTCGCCTGTTCAAAACACAAATAAGGCGACTTTTAGTTTCAAAATAATATAACGTTTTCAACTTTAAAAGACTCATAATAAAATTAACTTGTGATTATTGTTAATCTTAGAAAACGTTGTGAAATTATTCGAAAGTTTTTCTTAGTTTATGATTAAAACTATTTAAATACTTAAGTATTTGTATTAAGAGATAACAATTTATTTAAGTAACGAAGTCGTATGTTCTCAACTTCTCATTATATTATGTAAATAGATTTTGCAAACTTACAAAATCATGTTTCAACTTGTTAATAGATATTTTTGTGAATTTATGGAGCAAATTGATGTTCTTGACAATTTATGTTGCATAATTTGGTAATGTGTTAATTAACAACTAACGGCTTCAGGATTATCAAAATTAAATTAATAAAAAATCAATTCAATCGCATAGTTGTTAAAAATGAATAAATTCGTTTCCTAGATAAATCATGAACTTTAATATTTAATATTGGAAAGTGATTCGTACATAACAATTTTTTTTTTTCATATATTATACAAAAACAATTTATAAAATAAACTTTTTAAAGCAACTTTAATATTAGGAATTAAAAGTTAGTTTTCTAGAAAAATAAAGGAGGCAATCAATGTTCTATGGAATTGCCGACTCGTGACCGCCAAATGTCATACCACCACGTAAATCATTTTAAAGTCAAATTGAATCTTTTGATTTGACTTTTCCCGTAATAACCGTTTGATCAACAATTTATATATAAGAAAAAGAAAAATCAGATTATATATATATATATATATATATACACACGGTTTAAAACCCGTGGAAACCACGGTTAAGAAAGAAAAACAATATATATAATTCAAAATCTTAAGGACTAATCAAATATTTAAAAAAATTATTCACTATAACGATAGAAACTTTGTCAGTTAGTTTATAATTTTGTATTAAAATAAATATATACACCGTTATGAATATCCAATTTACGTTTTGCAAGTGTCGATATTTCATTAAAGCACGAGTTTGTATGATACAATATATATATATATATATATATATATATATATATATATATATATATATATATATATTTTGATGTATTTTGTGGAATCTATTATTTAATACTATTATTTAACAGATTCCACAAAATACGTCAGTATACAAAAATATATATCGTATCACACAAAATCGTACTTTTTGTATAGTGACGTATTTGAAAGTTTAGTTTGATGTATTTTTGTATACTGATGTATTTTAGGGATATTGATTGAAATTTTTGTTTATCTAAAAACTCTAAAAATATATAATGAAAAATAAAACCAAGAAACCTGCGTAATTTATTTTATTTTTATTTTTTTCTTGCAATATGATGTATTAAAACTCTAGAAAATATATAATGAAAAATAATTGCTTAAACTTGTGTTGGTTGTGTTGGTTTGGTCAAGTTATAGAAGCACAATCTAAATACCCAAATACACAATTTGGTAGTCATAACTCATAAGTAGGCGAGTTTCTCAATTACAAATTATATATGTGTATTTGATATTAGGATCCAATAGGATTTAATAATATAAAGAATAAAAAAGCTCAATTACGTCTTTTTTAGGCACGTTGATACAAAAATATTAAAATTCTTAGAGTCTAGATGCCAAAAATTTGTTTCAAAAAATAATAAATGAGGTGGTTACATCCTTTGTTACACTCTTACGAATATTATTCTGGACTTCTAGAACTCAATAAAAAGTTGGTAACAAACTAAAATATGGTTATAAAAATAAAAATAAAAAATGATTTTGATTATAAAATAGATAAAAAAAAAATCATCTCATCAAAAAGAATAAATCATTACCGTTTTGCATGAAATGTCAAAGTACTTTTCGTATTCTACCAAAATAGGCAATATACTTGTTTAGCAACATGAAATATAGTTGACAAAGTAAACTAATATTAAAACTTTAGAAAACATAAAAACAATCATAGAAATATGAAAATCATTGCAACCACCAATACCATGATGCACATAAGCATATATATGACGCTTGTCCTCTAAACCACAACCTCCTTGTTTTTTCACAACTTACCATCTGGTCAACTCTGTCACGTCGTCAATCTGTTTGACATTAGAAGTAAAACCAGACAAAATGCAAATTAGAAACAAAATTTGGTAATTGATAATAAAACAAACAGACAAATTGACAATTTCATGACATGAGATGCTATAACAACCAACTTTTTAAGGTTAATTTTTATTTTTAGAATGACAATAAGTTATAAAAAAACCTCCCATATTCAAATAGGAGACAAGCTCTCATATTCAAACAACACCAATAAGAGCTCCTAAAACTAAACACAGTAAGACAAAACAAACCCCCTAGTGTAAAATGGACGAAACAATTAGACCAAAGATGAAAGTCTAGAAATTAGAGCACCATCGAATGAATTTTTTGTGAGGATTAAACATACCGACAAATCTCCAAAAAATAGAAACATCTATAAAAAGCTTGGCCATGATATCTAAAAGTAACTGGGTATATTAATTCCATAAAAAGGACCTCCTTTTTGACCATCCTGATGCTCAAAAAATATTTAAAAATAAGTCCAGATGAGACTTCAAATAGTCATATCCATCTAAACTATTCATTAAATATAACCAAAGGTATCAATAAAGATAATCAAAAAATATTTATTTTTCTTTGGAAATTGTCATTTGTAAGGTCAGTTTTTGTCCCACCCATTTTGTCAGAACTTAAGATCTAACAGAAATAACCATCATAGACACATGTATAAATTAAGAGACACAGATGATGAAAACATGAGAGTTAATCAATGGTAGCAGTCTTGAACTCGGGAAAATGAATTAAGAGACACAAATCATGAAAATATGAGAGTTAATCTATGGTAGCAGTCTTGAACTCGGGAAAATGAAAGCATAGTTTAATGCTGCTTATAGACTTAAACCTCGATAACACAAGTGAGCAAGAAATTCCTTACTAAATAAATAGTTACTTGATAAGGAACATTCTTTTCATCTCATCCATTAGTTTTCTGAACACATGCTACTTTGCTATTCTTGGAATTAAGCATTCCTCATCATATACAATAGCTACATTGAAATAAAGAAATAAATTATTTTGTTGTACAGAGAAACCCCTAAGTTTTCATCTTTCTAACTCAATGAAATCAATGTAGATGAATTGCTTTCCGCTCAATAAAATCAAATTTAAAAAATTTAAAACAGAGTAAACTACACTCACTAAAATTAGAAGAGAATGATTTGCTTATGCTGTTGATCTTCAAGATCAGATTAGCTTTTCAAATCATAATTTTATCACTGAACAATACATATAATGTATAAATGTTCTTAAAATGGACAAATCCTATTACCCATCTCGTTGTTTCCCATTGTACAGATTAATCAAAAAACTGATTATAAATTTACAATAGACAGATGAGATGATGATTTATATATTCTTTAAGAATCAAATTTTGATACCTTTGTATACGGCCTTTTAACACACATATTTCCCAACGAAGTTATTTCAAATACGATGCATACTTGACAATCGATTCAGTGAATTCACCCACCGAACCTATACGTCATTAAAAGAACAGTAAAATCGCAAACCCAAAATCTTGGAATTTCATTGACTTATATTCAATGATTAAAGCAATAGGAATATAGAATCAAAAAACTAAATAAGAATGGAACTTTATTATGTAAAACACATCTACACCAAAAGAAAAAGTAGGAAAAAATATAACAAATGAAACACACTTCAATCGATCTCAATTAGACTCTCTGTAACCATTCAGTGATACCAAAAACCGAAACCTTTAATTGGATTTTATATGACCATTCACCCAGAAAAAAAAAACAAACTTTGGTGCAATCAGTTCTTGTGGGAGTTAGATATCCAGACGAACCTTTACTCCTTGTGTAAACTTGCAAAAAAGGTGAAAAAAAGTTGCGACTACCTGAGCTATTTGGGTTGAGAAAGATCGAAACCTGTAGATATAGAGAAAGGGAGAGGAAATAGCCGATGGTGCTTGTGGAGGAGAAGGCAGCGACCATCAAAAGCAATAACTGGCACAATAGCTCCCGATTTAGATAGAAACCTGGTGGATTTGAAAGGGATTGCAGAGATTTTTGGGTGAGCATTCGATTTTG